ACCACAGGTCGAGATTCGAATCGTGCGACTTGGACTCGAGTGCGACCTAAATCGCATAATTAATGACTTGTGACTCGACTTGGGGGTTTTGTCCAACGACTCGCCACTCGACTTGGGGGTTTTGTCCAACGACTCGCCACTCGACTTGGGGGTTTTGTCCAACGACTCGCCACTCGACTTGGGGGTTTTGTCCAACGACTCGCCACTCGACTTGGGGGTTTTGTCCAACGACTCGCCACTCGACTTGGGGGTTTTGTCCAACGAATCGCCACTCGACTTGCTAGTGTGTGAGTGACGTTCAACCTCACCAGGAGTTCACAACGACTTATACAATGACATCAAAAGTCTTCAGCTTTCCCTTTCCTTCCTTACTTGACATGAGTGTATTCTGTGTCCTGTTTAATCCAACGGTTAAATAATGCTCCATCCAGACTAAGTGCCAATAGTGTTCGCTTTTCTGGGTCATGAATATCACAATATAAATTACCCATCTTCGATTAGCTGAGGAAGTGCGGCACAGTCAAACGGTATCCCTGTGCATAGTTATAAATTTGCATCTCAAATTCATTTTAAAATTGATGTCTGTGTCAGCTTTTATAAGCTAGCCATGTGAAACAATAACTTAACACTATTTTGTGGATGCGCCTTTGACTAAACAACTTTGACCGACGTCTTATTTTGGCTTCAGGTCGCTAACAGTCCGACTTTTGACGAGCAAATCATGAAATTACGGAGGTTTTCTTTGCTCCACTGTTAAACCAGTCATAGTCTGTATTACTTCCTGAAACTAATGAAAGTAAACCTTCCAAAAGTCTACCAAGACGGTTTCATGACAAAAATATATTTCGTAAAAAAGAAAAGGAAACTAAATATGATTTTCTTCTTTAGCGAAAAAAAAAAAAAAATGTCCTTAACGTCATGGATATTCTAAGAATGTATGCACAAAAATCACATGCAGTTGTCGAGAAAATGGCTTGCACGTGTGTTTATGAGCTGTTGAACAAGCTAATTTTTTAAATAGATTACGAGACCTTTGTCATATATAACTGCATAGCAGTGTGACCATGATTAATTAAGTTGAGTTGATTCAAGCACCGACATCACAGTACTCGGTACATTCCCAAAAGTGCTCCGTCCCCATCTTCAACAGTAAGCGCAGAGTTTCAATACTGTTGGTGCATTCGTATTAAACGTCCGTCTTGTCTTTCCACTGAGCGTCGAGCATCGATCAGAACCTCTCGTGACTGCCGGCTGCATGAATCTCACCAGACTGTGGTGATCCATTTGCTTCTCGGAATTGTACACGCTCTCACACAAGGCCCTAACCACGTGACGATGATGAATATGACACAATGACCATGACGAGCCAGGTCTGGCTGTATATAAATAGAGAAGGCCGTGGTCGAGCTAACATTCGTTGCCACAGAAACAAGAGACACGGTGAAGCATGAGTTTTTTTTTCACCATGATATAAAGCGATCACAAGCAACAAACGAACACACGAATCCGACACACATAACGTCAGCATTCATTTATTCTCAAACTGTGCAGTGCCTACACAACCCGTGTCTAATAGCGTACGACATGAAAACATAGGTCTGGTTTACCAATGTGGAGAGTCGGGGAAGGGAAGGAAACAAGAGGCGCTCTGGGAGGCGGGAAAATAAAGCCATACAGAAAACACAAATTGTAGGGCTTGAAGCGGACAGACAGGCTGACGGGACCAACACAGACATAAAGTATGAATTCACAGAGCCACAATATAAGCTTCAGACAACGATTGCCTCTTTCAGCGTAGACAAAGGTTGCCCGCTGCAAGAGGATCCATGCATATGGAGTTTGGAATTATATACTTATAAAGAGCTATAGAGATGGATATGCACGAAGGAAAGCAAGCTTTGGGCCTTTTGTCCTCTCCGATTATGTAGTTAGTTGCACATAATGGAATGAACGATAAACAGATTTGAGGACATTGGAAAATTAGTCACAAATATAAAATCAATCCACAAGGAGAAAATGTTCTGTCACGTGGTTTCCCGTATAACAATGTCAACATTGCACAAAGTAAAACGCTTACAATAGATCAAACATTTTTAGTGGAAATACAGTTAGTGTAATAGCCTCTATCGAACCTGCCTTGCATTCTCTTAATATTATTGCACTAAGAAATGGCTAGCGATCCGTGGCGTATGAATATAAAAAAATCAGCTGTAGCAACTCAACTTCGATAACAACACGAAGTGTAAACACACCGGTTGCTTAGTGTTGCAGACTGTAGATGCTTTTTCGTTGTTCTTTACATAAATCAGACTGTCTCCGTATTGGATGTTTGTGGCAACGCATCTCTAGTAGGTTCTGTATATTATCCAGGTTGTAGATTCTTAGATTGCTATTCGTCCACTTCTTGATGTTTTTCTACTATTCTTATTGTCCACCTCGCTCATCTCAGCTTTTCCCTCCAGTATGGTTTTTATTAATAAAAGAATCATGTTCACTGAAGGCGTTTAAAATGGTGCTTGTCATGTTACATGACTACAATTCGATGTGTGTGTGTGTGTGTGTTGGCGCGCGTATGTGTGTGTGTGTGTGTGTGTGTGTGTAATTGTTATTTGACCTATTCCTGGTGAATTTACATGTCTGAAAGAGTGTGCCCTTTCGATGGCTCGATGCGAATTATGTATATATTCCATATTAGCCATGGTCAATAAATTGTGTAAACAGCATGACTTTGTTCTCACTTTAAGGAGACAACTTCAAATCCCTAATTAGTCACTGGAGCTTTTAGTTGCTTTGCCCAGAACACAATTTTGCCCAAGACTGACATTATAAGCTGGCTTTTGTTTCATCGTAAGATGATGATCGCCAGAAAGAACTTCACAAATTTCAGTTTAGTTTTGGCTCGATGTACGATTAGTGTTCCGATCATAAATAAAAATGTAAAAACTGCAGCTTGAGCTGTGAAGTTTTAGTTTTCACATGTTTGCTTAATAAAATATGTGATCCTCACGGAATAATGTCTTCAAATATAATGTATAACTCTCGTCAAGCAACATAAATTATGTTAATGTATGGAGTCCTTAAGACTATTGCGACAGATCTTCGTCACACGCAATAGCCCTGGATTTTTTATAAGTGCCTCTCTTTCGCTCTCTCTCTCCTCTGACTGACTGACTTTCTACCCCACTAGGACATCACACAAGCGATAAACACCCGATTACACAAAGTGCCACCATGCGGATGAGGATCGCCGTGGAGAGGTCCCAGAAACCGCGTTCAGACATTTGGCCATATGTATGACCTGCCTATATTGCGGCCCCTGGCAAAAGCCAGAGTAGGGCTTCAAATGACAAAAAATTTCGTCCTAAAAAGGACGAAACTAGTTATAATGATAAATACTCTCTCCTCTCCTCTCCCCCCGTCTCTCTAACTATCTCTCTGTTTTCAAAATTGCTCATTCATAAATGCATATGTTGTTTTGTTTTTCTGTATTTATATAATGGAGTTTATGTGACATTATTTCAGTTCTACATCCAGTTTGCTACACACTGAAGTGAACACACAACATGTTCTCACTTTGCATGCAGCAGTAAACTGACGTAATTCAATTGCAGTAATCTAGTAAACAGTCAAGTAGTCCTTTGCCTATTTGCAGTAATCTCGTAAACAGCGCCATACGCAATTCCCGCGAGGACACTGAGACGTATAGGGTAATTAGTTTAGCACGACAGAAATAGATCCACATTACCAGTGAGTAGTGGCTCCCTAACTACTTGCATATCTCAGCTGAAAGGAGACATTGTAACCAACTTCTCCTGAGGAAAGTCAGTATATGTACTTGGGGTGGTTGCTGCATCGGAGCACAAAGCAGCCATGACCATGGCCAATGTGCAGCAGTGCCGTCGATTATGATAACATAATATAACAGAATAATATCTCAGCTGAAATCTTGTTGCGTCACAGCAAACCTTTGTTAAGTGATGTCATCAGCAAATTATTGGCTTGAGATCACATCAGTGCTTGCGTTGGATAACACCGCTTCCGGTATTAAAGAGTTGATGGTAGTACTCACAGCTGTGTCAGAATATGGTTAACACTGCTTCTCGTATGTAGACATGGTTGTCACATTAGTACTAGCATATTATTATACTGCTCGCCACAATCTAGGTATGATTGTCCCTTTTGTATCAATATATTATTACACTCCTGGTCGTATTTTGATGTGACTGTCACTTTAGTACTAACACATATGATCTGACCTTCATATCTGTATATGACTGTCACTTTAGTACTAACACATATGATCTGACCTTCATATCTGTATATGACTGTCACTTTACTACTAGCACATTTACACTAATCCTCATATCTGTATATGTCACATTATTACCAGCATATTATTACATTGCTCCTCAAATCTAGGCATGAATGTCATTTTAGCATCAGTATGTTATTACACTCCTAAGCGTATTTTGATATGACTGTCACATTAGGACTAGCATATAGTTAGACTGCTCTCCACAATCTAGGGATATGATTGTCACTTTAATACTAGCACATTTACTCTGAACGCCATATCTGTATATGACTGTCACATTAGTACCGGCATATTAGTAAACTGCTGACCGTGTCTTGATATGATTGTCAAATTAGTACTAGCACATTTACTCTCACCCCCATATCTGGATATGATTTTCACATTCATACTGTCACATTAATACAGGATTTTATTACACTTCTGACCGTATCTGGATATGGTTGTCACATTAGTATTAGCATATAGTTAGACTACTCCCGACATCTGGATATAATTGTCACATTAGTACCAGCACATTCTTTCACTACCTTTGTATATGACATAACTGCCATGTTTATGTCAACATAATTTTAACACGGTTTCCGGCATTTAGTCACAACAAACTCTCACAGTCTGCCCAGTTATCTCTGCCGACACAGCACACACAGGCTCAACGCCCGTCCACCAACACAAGATGACGTTTACATCAAGCAATTTCCCTCATGTGTGCATAGTATCCAGGCAGAATCAGAGCAAGCGTGATGCCCGTAGTGAAGACAATAAATAGAAACAGAAGAAGTCTGTCTATGACCAGCGCCAGTTGTTGCCACTCGTTTCTGATCGCATCCTTTCGATCCTGGTCCTCCAGTCTCATCTCGTTCTTCTCGATAGTCTGATAAACCTGTTGGTGTAAGAATATAGTTCACAGTACTTATATTGCATAGCATATTTACTGTATTCACACAGTGATTAAAACAAAAATTCTTGTCTAGGCTTGTGTTCTCAACTTTATACTTTATGGCAGCGAAATTTGGTCAACTTATTCGAACCAGGAGAAAGAGCTAAATAGCACAAGGACTAGACAGTATGGATGGAGTGGGGTGAAAAAAAAAAAAAGGGGGGGGGGGGTGTGGGGGAAGAGAACATTTCAAATTAAAGCGACGATTCTTCTCGAATTATTGAGATTTTATTTATCTTCACTGTCTGTGTTTACCACTTTTAGGTCTGTACTGTTTTCCAGTCTTCGGAAAGCTGCCTCTACTGCCTCCATTCTTTTGCTTGATGTTTTAACGTTATACGTGAGTCTCTCTCTCTCTCTCTCTCTCTCTCTCTCTCTCTCTCAGTTATACGTGAGTCTCTCTCTCTCTCTCTCTCTCTCTCTCTCTCTCTCTCTCTCTCTCTCTCTCTCTCTCTCTCTCTCAGAGAGAGAGAGAGAGAGACTCACGTATAACGTTAAAACATCTTCTTTAATTTACTCAGTGTCCACTCAGCTTTGAAACGTAACCCCTCCCCCACCCCCCTTTTTTCCCCAATTTCTTCTCCCGACTGAGCCGTGTGTATAATAATACCATCTGAGCGTGAATTGCTTTCTGTTAGAAAATAAAGGGCACAGTAAGAAAGAAGGAGAATGTAAGTCTCAGACAGGAGAAGATGAATGAAATAAAGAACGCACAACTATTAGACTGATATAGTTACAGGCATCATTACCTTCTGTAACACTCGTAGAAATTGCCTTTCGGTGTTATCTCCACTTGGCGAAGCAGGATTTGGAGTAAACTTGCGCGTGAACCTAGGAGAAATGCCTCCGTTCTCTGGATGCTTATCTATGTCGTATCTGGCATAGTAGTCGTTCTGAGGCACTGGCTGCTGCAAAAGATTAACTGTGAGTTGAATTCTTTCACCAGCTTATTGTTAACTTCAGTTTGTGAAATGTTTTTCCTCACGATTTAAACAATAATAAATACATTGCATTTTTGTTTGTTGAAGACAATTTGTAAAAGAGATTAAAAAAATTAAACTGAATGTTAGAACCATAAACTTTATAAACGTTAAAAAAAGGAACATATAAGGCAATAAATCCAACTCATAGGATGTTTGAAAATGAATACTTTCAAACTATATAGTATCAAGTTTAACATATCGCTGGGAACCATGGACAAAGAAGTCAATAAACCAAAGCCATTTCTTGAGGTCTCACAGTTATAATTTTACTGAAGAATACTTTACATTTCTTGGACAGCTAAAATACGTAACCCAAATGCTTTGAAAGAGGCGAAGTAAGTAAAGTAAAAAAGTAAGGATCCCTTTTCACGCTTTTAGGCGCATCGGGCATATGGAAAGAGCACCCATATTATTACAGACCAATCAGCAATCGGTGGGTAACGTGGTCAGCATTACGCCGGCCGTCTCTACTTCCCCAGGACAGCCATCCTGGTACCCATTTGAGGCTGGGTCGACCTGCGAGGTCCCATACCAGGATAAAAATCCACGCAGCCTGCAATGGGTTTCGATCGCGGTACGTTGGATTACGAGTCGGACTCGCAACGCCTTAGCTAGAAAGAGGCGAAGACTCGATGCTAATTTATCACAAACAACAGTAATAATTGTATGAATACCTTTTGATAAGAAAGACACTGGGATATTTGTTGACGAACAGAAAGTCTTGTAGACGACGATGATATACAAATATAGTTATATCCTTTCACAGGGGCTTTCTTCTTCTTCTGCCTTTCTATCCCTCAATGGAGCATAGGCCCTAAACCAACTCACGCCAAGTCGTTCTATCCTTCGCCATTGCATGGAGCTCCCCCCCCCCCCCCCATGTCCTCCCAATCTTTCTAACCTCATTTTCCAGCTCTCTTCTCCATGTGTTTTTTGGCTTTCCTTTATTCCTATGCCCCTGTGGATTGCAATGCAAAGATATTCTAGTTATGCTGTTCTCCTGTTTTCTCAGTGTGTGTCCTATCCAACGCCAGCGTCTTTTCCTCACCTCTTGGTCCACTGGAGCCTGTTTAGTTCTCTCCCAAAGTTCTACATTATTTATTCTATCTTACCATTTAATTCCCTCTATTCTGCTCAGGCACCAGTGAATGAATGTCTGTAATTTATTAGTAATTGCCTTGGTTGTTCTCCATGTTTCTGCCTCACACAATAGTACTGATTTGACATTAGAATTAAACATTTTTAGTTTAGTATATCTTTAAATTTCGTTTGACCTCCACAAATTCCATACTGCTATGAAAGCCCCTCTTGCCTTTTGTATTCTTATTTTAATATCTCTATCAGTTCCTCCATCTTTATCTATATTACTGCCTGAATAGGTGTACGACTCCACGTCTTGGAGTGGGGGTGCCATTAAGAGAAACCACATTACTGTTTGCCTGATTTATTCTCAATATCTTTGTCTTTCCTTTATGGATTTTCAGACCAAGCTGCTGTGATCTCGCATCAAGTATATTTAATTTATCTTGAATCTGATTCCGTGAATGGGACAGAAGAGCAATATCATCAGCGAAGTCCAGATCATCAAGCTGTTTTGTAGGGGTCCACTGAATTCCATTCTTGGTGTTAGCAGTTACTGTTTTCATAGTCCAGTCTATAGCCAGTAAAAATAGAAGAGGCGACAAAAGACATCCCTGTCGCACACCTGTTTTTATTTCAAATGCATCTGTTAGCTTTCCCTCATGAAGAACTCGACATTTCATGTCTTTATATGTTGCCTTTATTAAGTTGATAATTTTCTGTGGGATTCCATAGTGCCCCATCAATTTCCAGAGAGATTCTCTATCAATGCTGTCAAATGCTTTTTCATAGTCTATAAATCAAATGTAAAGTGGTGAGTTCAGTTCAATGCTTTGCTCTATTATAATACGTAATGTGGCTATCTGGTCAGTACAGGATTTGTTTGACCGAAAACCTGCCTGCTCATCTCTTAGCATTTTATCAATAGCATATTTTAATTTTTCCAAAATTATTCTACTTAATATTTTTCCAGGAACTGACAGCAACATAACTCCTCTATAGTTTTCACACTCCTGTAGATCACCTTTTTTGGGCAGTTTTACAAGATATCCTTCTCTCCAGTCTGCTGGTATTTCTTCGGTCTCCCAGACTTCACTGAATAATCTATGTAGCAATTCTGTTGATGTGTTTATGTTGGCCCTGATGGCTTCAGCTGGGATACCATTTGGGCCCGTCGCCTTTCCTTCCTTGAGAAGATTGATAGCTTTTCTAATTTCCTCTTTGGATGGTATCTCACAGTTTATATCCAGTTCCATTTCTAAAGGCTGGATATCTGGGGGAACCTTTGGGCCTGGTCTATTTAGAAGCATTTCAAAATATTCAACCCATCTGTCCATTTGATCTTCAGTGTACCTTTCCTATAAGTACCTTTCCTGGACTTTTTTTGATTGATCCAGTTGGCTGACTATATTTACCTACTAATTTTCTTGTGTTACTGTAAAGTTCTCTGAGGTTTCCTTTTGCTGCTGCTGTCTCCGCTTCTTGTGCTAGATCATTTAGATATTTCACTTTATCTGCCCTTATATGCCTCCTAACTTCCTTGTTGGCTTCTGTATATTTCTCCTGAGCTCTAGCTTTAGCAGCTCTAGTTTTGCTACTCTTTAAGTCTGCCTTTTTACTTTTTATATCTTCAATCAGTTTAATGGTTTCTGGTGTTATCCATGCTTTATGTTTCCTTTCTTTCTTGCCAAGAACTTCTACGCAAGATTCATTCCATATCCCTTGATCTGATCCGAGCAGACTTCTGTGCTGACGTATTCAGCTAACTGTTGCAACACCTGGTACTTATTAGAGACCGTCACTGAGAACTGTTCCTTAATTTCTTTATCCCTGAGAAAGCCTACATTATATTGGTTTCTATGATTATAAGATGTTATATATCTTTTTAGTTTCAACTTGATTTTACTTACCATCAGGAAATGGTCAGTAAATGAATCGGCACCTCTGAAAGCCCTAACATCGTAAAGGGATGATCTGAAATTTTTGTTAATACATAGTGGTCAATTTGATTAGTTGTCTTATGGTCTGGTGATTCCCATGTTGCCTTGTGTATTCTTTTATGGGGAAAAATACTTCCACCAATAACATACTGGTTTCCTGCACACAAATTTTTGAACAATTCTCCATTTTCATTCATTACTCCTAGACCATGTCTTCCCATATCACAGGGGCTTTACCTATCCTTAAATCCAGAAACGATAGCGGAGAGTACGTATTTCTGCAGGATGCAGATTTTTTTCTGGGCAACATTTCTCTCACTGTAACGACGAAGACAACTGTATCATCAAAGAGATCCCTTTCCTTCGATAATTTCCTGGACACTTCATTGTCAACATTTCAGCTCTATGCAAGTGAGAGTTACGCGAAGTCAGTACAGGCAGATAGTGTGTAAAGATGGGGAACTCATGAGCACTAAAGAGAATTTAGTAGTATTGGTGGTGGATGCCACTGTAAGCCTAATATATATAGGACCGCCCAGTATGGTTCCCCCTCTAGGTTAAAACGCCCAGTATGGTTCCTGCTCTAGGTTAAACCGCCCAATATGGCTCCTACACTCACATAAAGAAATTCCAACCTTCAGTGAGTACATAAATTGCAGTAAAAAATAATGTATAAACGCAAAAAAAGCTGTTGACACGGAGGAAGAGGAAGCACCGCGGTAGATACTTTAACTCTTTAAACCCTATAAGTTTCACTGTAAATGCTCAATGCAACAAATAATCATTATGAAATATAGCCATTATACTTCTTTTGAAGAAGTTTAATTCACAATAAAACGCGTCACTGGAGTAGCCATATTTCCCCGGTATGTCCTGACAAAGTGTGAACATTAAAGTAATAAATAATATGACTGTCGGGATTAAAGAGTTAACTAGCATACATCATCAGGATAGCTTGAGACTAAAAGAGTTCTAATGTACATCGATCTCCTCTCCTCTTTGATTCACATATGGCTACACACATATAAATATACTATTTCATTTCTAATTATCAGATCATTTTGGTGTTTAATTCCGTCTCTAGACGGCCCTAGAGCTGTATCAGATTGCTGAAGTATGGCAAAATTCAGTTGTGGTGCTTCTCAGGCACTGAAGTCTGTGGTACTGAATCAGTAATGAGTCGTCGGTGCCTCAGACTATCTGTCAACCAATCAACTAGGTATCGTCTCCGCAATAGAGATTGGCAGGAAGCCAAACAAGAACAAGATATAGGGTCTTTGAGTCAAAATGGTTAAGTCGTTTGCCTCGCGTTGTTCAGTTGACGAGCGCAGTTTTTTTGGAGCTGGAGCTACAGAGTTCATACTTTTGTGCGACGCTCTCGGCAGCCGGCTAGTCGTTCTCCGCGGAGACAGACAGACAGACAGACAGACCGACCGACCGACCGACCGACCGACCGACAGACGGTAGACAAACAGACAGGACAGACAGACAGACAGACAGACAGACAGACAGACAGACAGACAGACAGACAGACAGACAGACAGACAGACAGACAGACAGACAGACCGACCGACCGACCGACCGACCGACCGACCGACCGACCGACCGACGGTAGACAAACAGACAGGACAGACAGGACAGACAGGACAGACAGACAGACAGACAGACAGACAGACAGACAGACAGACAGACAGACAGACAGACAGACAGACAGACAGACAGACAGACAGACAGACAGACAGACAGACAGACAGACAGACAGACAGACAGACAGACAGACAGACAGACAGACAGACAGACAGACAGACAGACAGACAGACAGACAGACAGACAGACAGACAGACAGACAGACAGACAGACAGACAGACAGACAGATAGATAGATAGATAGATAGATAGATAGATA